AGGAGAGTTCATTGGAGAGACCTACAGTATCCTAGAATGTACACAAGCCCACCCAGCCAGGAACCAGCACCAGAAGGGCCCAGTTTGCTTGTGAGAAGTGGGGGAAGTAACTGAAAGCCAGCAGAGAGCTGAGCAAGAGTCACTGCTCCCTCTTAGACTCCTCCCAAACAAACAGCACCACAACTCAGCCACGTGGGTTGCCCTTCCTGGTAAACACCTGAGGCTCTGCCCTTCACTACGTAACAGGTGTGCTGAGACAAAAAAAAAAATGATGAGAAAAAATACGACTAAGCAAAAAGAGCCAACTTATCAGATGCACAGTTTGAAACACTATTAATCAGGATTCTCACAGAATTGGTTGACTATGGTTGCAAAAGAGAGAAATAAGTGAGGGTTGTGAAGAGTGAAATAAAGAAAAAGGTACAGGGAACCAATAGTGATGGGAAGGAGACTGGGACTCAAATTAATGGTTTGGACCAGAAGGAAGAAACAACAATTCAAAAAAATGAGGAGACACTTAGGAACCTCTGGGACATCTTTAAACGTTCCAACATCTGAATTATAGGGCTGCCAGAGGAGAAGAACAAGAAATTAAAAACTTATTTGAACAAATAATAAAAGAGAACTTCCCCAATCTGGCAAAGGAAATAGACTTTCAGGAAATCTAGGAAGCTCAGAGAGTCCCAAAGAAGTTGGACCCAAGGAAGCACACATCTAGGCACATCATAATTACATTATCCAAGATTAAAGATAAGAAGAAAATCTTAAAAGCAGCAAGAGAAGGAGACAGTTACCTACAAAGGAGTTCCCATAAGGCTATCAGCTGATTTCTCAAAAACAAAAACAAACAAAAAAAAAAAACCTTGCAGGCTAGAAGGGGCTAGAAAGAAGTATTCAGTCATGAAAGGCAAGGATCTACATCCAAGATTACTCTGTCCAGCAAAGCTTTCATTTAGAATGGAAGGGCAGATAAAGTGCTTCTTGGATAAGGTCAGGTTAAAGGAATTCATCATTACCAAGCCTTTACTATATGAAATGTTAAAGGAACTTATCTAAGAAAAAGATAAAAAACATGAACTCACAACTATCAACAACTTAGCCTAAAAAACAAAAACAGAAAAAACCTAAACAAACAACTAGAACAGGAACAGAATCACAGAAATGGAGATCACATGGAGGGTTATCAGCAGAGGAGGAGGAGAAAGGGGAAAAGGTACAGGGAATAAGTAGCATAAATGGTAGGTACAAAGTAGACAGAAAGAGTTGAGAAATTATTGAGAAAAATTGAAAGAGTTGAGACAGAAATTATTGAGAAATCCAAAAAGATTTTGTTTATATGTGGATTATATGTAATTGCTCTATTAGACATTAAAACTAAGGAATGTTTAAAATATTTATTCACTTAAAAATAAAAAAATCATAACATGTTATGTTAGTGTTCACCAGAAGGATGAGAGCAATATAATGTGTACATAAGGAGAGACAGTTTTATTATAAGGAACTTGCTCACGTGTTAGTGGCATTGGCAAGTTTAATATCTGCAATGCGGGCTGGCAGGCTGGAGGCCCAGAAGGGATGCTTTCTCTTTCTCTCACTGCTTAAGATAATTAATCACCCAATATTGTTAGGACAGCTAATTTTGGCCACTTGACTGAGTTTTAATACCCTGTGAAAACTAGTAAAAAAAGTTGCCCAGAAACCATCCCATTTATTGGGCTCTATTTCTTGGCATATTGATAAATTTAGATAGTTTACTATTTTTTTTGTTAAATTAAAATATGCAACTTCTATTCTCTACACCTGAAGTAGGGTAAGAGTTGTTGTGTGTGTGTGTTGAAGGATAAAAGCTTGAGTGGAACTGCAGTACACGCAAACGTAAGAGACATTGACCAGGCTATTATGCATTCTATTATGATATACATATTTAATGAATACATTTTTATTCAAAGTCAACATCTTGCCCTCTTGCAGGTCCCCACTCAAAATACATTTCACAACTGCACAGAAGGACTGAATTAAAAAAACCCTTGTAGACACATTCTGACCTATTTTTAATTTGCATTGCTGCATGCAAGATTTGACATTACATCATATATAGAACAAGGGAGCCAAGAGACAACTACACTTAGCCACTTTTGTGTGGAATGCAGACTTGCATAAGTTATTGAGAGTTAAAGAAGTTTATGTATGAAAAGAAAAAAGAGTCATCAGAGTCTGATTACTAATCTTATTTTGCCACTGGTAGTGGTCTGCCTTTTGCCTAAATCAACGCTTGTCAGCTTCAAGTTTTTCATCCAAGAGAGAGGCTTATTTTCTGGAGTTTTTTGGATTGTTGGTTCAAACTTTTAAGTATAGTTAGAATTATTAAAGTGTCAAATAAAAAATGTTAGAGAGGTATACCAGAGAAAGTGAAAGCCAATGAAAATTTTACTTTTTTCCCCATTCATGTCATTTTTAAACATATAAGAGTCATGTTTGGTGCATGCTACTAATCGGAGTAGTGCTAATTAGTAGCACTACTACTGCTACTAATTTGGGGGCTGCCTTTGCTGAGCAGGCTGGGGAGAGAATGGGGCATGTGACTTCCTCCTCCTCTGTGCTGACCCCACTCCAAAGGGCTCTTTCTGTCTGGGTCACTTTTATTATCTACATACTCAACAAATATTTTTGTTGGAGAATGAATTTCTTAGCCAAATAAGATAGAAGACTACCTGATAAATAATTTCTAATATTCCTTTTAGAATTAACCTACTCTTTCAGTATTCTTTCCCTTACGAACCAGAAAACAATGTACAGTTTTCCAAAAGTAGTTACCTTTCTTTTACTTCAATTTACAAGCTAATATTAAACCCATTTACATTGGAATACACTGGAGTTTTCTTTAATTTCAATAAAAATCTTCCCTTTTTGGTAGAAAGTGACAAGCTGATTCTAAACTGGGAAATGTAAAGGTCCTTGAATAGCCAGGACAACACTGAAGAATTATAAAAGTCCTTAGAATAACAAGTGGAATGTAGAGTTGAGAAAGAAAAACAAGTCTCAAACTTACTATGTATGCATTGGTTCACATGAGGTATGGAGCTATTGGACAGCCTGATTCAGGCTCAGCATCCTCACCATGCTTACCCTTCTTAAATGGTCTTGCTTGACTTAGAGGCACTATCCAGTTTTACTACTTGGAGAAATTGGAACAGATGGCAGTATCCCAAGAACCCTAAACCTTGTCATTAGAAGGCCATGGAAAACATGCTTTTCTTCTTTTAGGAGTCGTGCCAAAAATTCAGACTGCAGAGGGTCCCAAGCTATGTAATTCTCAATGATTTCTCTATGAATTTTTATTAAAGTAAATGCACGGTAAGGAGGCATTACCTGTTTCTCTGACAACCTGTCATTTAATTTATAAATGCTCTTGAGGAATGGGTTGTATGGAATTTAATAAATAAAATCTTAAGTAGGAGGAAATAAATTAAGGAATTCCCGGGGGAAATCCAGACCTAAAGTCATTAAAATGTCTCAGTGAGGCCTAGTAGTCAACAATTCTCCTGGAAAAAATATTTAGTTAGTCATTTGGTTGAAACCCCAGAAAGTTAGCTGCGGCTGGAGTGCCTTTTAAACAGCTTAACATCAAAGACATTTTGCATGTTCTATCATTACTAGCACAATCCTCAAGCTGTCATCTTTACTCCAGTCAGAAATCAGTGTAGAAATATTTGAAATAAAGAAAAATGGCAATATAAAAATACACCATAGTATTCCTGTATAAGATTATTTTATTCCTAATAGAGATTCCTTTTATATTTAGGTTTTTCAAAATCTTAGGTAGCCAAAGAAGTCTATTTTATTTAAAGTAACCTTATTTTAGTATAAAACAATGAGGTTTCCATAAACAGAATCCAAAATGAAGTTTATTTTTATTAATTTTATTTTCATATCGTATACATACATACATCTATAAGCATCCACTGATCAGGGCATTTATTTTTATAGATTTGCCTATTTGCAGTTTAAAATCATTTAACAACTACTGCAAATAAACTCATTTTACATAAAATACTCATAAAATCATCATGGATACTTTCCCAATCTATGTTGTATTTTACTCTTTGTTTCCTAACAAATACCTATTCATTTATTTTGGATCCCATACACTTTTAAACTTCAGTCTCTGCTTTCACCCACTCTCTTATAAAGTCACATGAAGTCCTTGGAAGGTACTCCCTTGTCTCGTTGACGATTGTCATAGGCAGGGCAGCACCAAGCAGTCCTAATACAACCCTCGGCCACCTACCAATACATGAGCCTTGCTCCAGGTCTGGCTTGTCATTTTTTTCATTCCAATAATCACACATTTGACTAGCCTTTGAGCTCAAATTCCCATCTGCCACTAAGCAGATGCTATCTTATACTTTAATACCTAAGTTCCTGTTTGAGAAAATGATTTAGAAAAATATTCTATCCATTTGATCCCATAAATAATAGAACTTGTAAAGAAATGCTGACATTTTAGCATGTGAGGCATATTTCTCAGATTGCTAGGAATGAGGCAAATATTATTACTCAGGTTATGTGCCCTATTTTTGATTCCTGGAAACATAATTGCTATAACCACATTAATAATCATAAGGAAGTACTTGTTAGAATAATCAGGCTAACAATAGAAACCTGGTATATGAGATGGCAGCTTGGATAACCTGGGTAAGTATCCAGTGAAGAATTCAAGTAATAGGACAAAAAAACAAGAAAATAGATAAAGAGGAATAGAGGAATGAACCCAGTGTGCATTTTCTAAGAAATCCGAGACCTCAAACTTTCACTACATATATTACATAAGTTTAAGTTCGAGAAACTGCATCATATGGAAGAAAAAAACCTGCTTTGGCAATTTTACTAGCCAAGTAACCCAGAAGGAATATTTATATTTCATCTTGGGTTGTTTTTCCACAGGAATTTTCAATGTGTCCACTATTTTTCAAAATCAATTCTGTGTTTTTATATTTCAGAAAAATATATGACATTGAGCGCCAATGACTGCTGACATCACAGAAAGGAAAACAGCCATGAGTGAAGTGGTTCCTGATGGAAGAACACAGGCCGGCCCCGAAGCTCCTGGCCAAGAAATGGAACCTGAACCCAAGCAACGCTTTAGACCCAAATACCAACGTGTTAAAAATACAGAAAGCAGTGAAATATCCTGGACTAGACCATGGGACTGCAATCAGCAAGATCCAGACAGGAAAATTCTACAAGACAAAAACCCAGGTGTTTTTTTTCTTCAATAAAGTGAAAGATAAAAATAAGGAGAGAGAAAAAGAATTCAGATTCATAGATAGAGAAAAGGATGACAGCTAGTGGAGTGAGGGTGGGGGAGTGTAGAGGGTGGAGGGGCTGAGCAGAAAGGAAAAAGGACGCATGGACACGGACAGCAGCGTGGTGACTGCTGCGGGGGCTAAATGGTAATGGAAAAAACACAAAAAATACCCTCATGATTCAATTAAAAAAATAAAAATGATCTGTTAAAGGTGAGATCATATTGTATTTGTCTTTTACTGCCTGGCTTATTTCACTCAGCATAGTGCCTTCCAGTTCCATCCATGCTGTTGCAAAGGGTAGAAGCTCCTTCTTTCTTTCTGCTGCATAGAATTCCATTGTGTAAATGTACCATAGTTTTTGGATCCATTCATTTACTGATGAGCACCTAGGTTGCTTCCAACACTTGGCTATTGTAAATTGTGCTGCTATGAACATTGGGGTGCATGGGTTCTTTTGGATAGGTGTTTCAGGGTTCTTAGGATATAATCCTAGCAGTGGAATTGCTGGGTCAAAAAGGCAGATCCATTTTTAGTTAAGCAACAAAACAAACAAGCAAGCAATATATAACCACAGACACTCAAGTAGAGAACAGGCTGACAGTGTCCAAAGGGGAGAGGGGAGGGAATTTCAGGGGAAAAGGGGAAGGGTTTACAGGAACAAGTATAAAGGACACATGGACAATAACTAAGGTGGGTAGAAATGGGAGGGAGGTGGGGAGCACTGGGGAGGTGGGCTGGGATGGGAGTAAAAGACAGAAAACTATACTTGAACAACAATTAAAATAAATAAATTAAAAAATAATAAAAATAATCTAAAAACTCAATTGTTTTATTTAGATACTGATTTTAATAAATGTTTAAAAGTGACATTTAGGAGACTACAGGATAGTTATACATTTGTTGTTTATTTGATGATATTAAAGATGTTAATTTTTGAGGATGTAAAACTGTGATCCATAGTATTGTAGTGAATTAAAGAAGAAAGCTTATTTTTTGGAGAGGCATACTGAAATATTTACAGATGAAATGATATGCTTTCTAGGATTTACTTAAAAACAACGTGGGAACCAGGAAAAATGGAAGGGCTGGGCATGGAACAAAAATGGCCACATGTATAATTCTCAATGCTTGTCCTCGGTACCTAGGAGTTCATTACATTGCTGATTTTTTAATGTGCTCGAAATGCCTCATAGATTTTTAAAGTTATGGCAACATAAAGGCATTTCCAAGCCGCTGACTACACAACAAAAATAAAATGAACTTTTCAAATTCCTAATATTTCCCAGAACTTTGGCTTTTTATAATTTCCAATTCTGTTAAGGTTAAGGGAAAATGACTTTATTTTTCCTTTTATTTTGAAAAAAATTTATATAAAAGCATCTATAGCTCATGTACTTTTCTATTTATTATCAGACAATTTCACATGTATCGAGAATACAATTGAATTTTAAGGCATAGATCTTTTTGCTAGATTGTAGACTTATTTTAAGATACCAGAAATTAAGATTTCTTAAGGTTTTTAGGTGGTAATACCTTTCATAACATTGTGCTTAATATAACATAAATTGAACATGCTTTTAAGATAATTAAATTTAAGATAATGAATAAATTAAATTGTTCAAAGAATGACAGTTTTCTTCAATAAAATTTAAAAAATCTTACTCTGCAAATGTAATGAGAAATACTAAGAACATGAAGACTAATGCTTAATTTGTGATCATTTATTCTCGTGCATAAATACACGGATGGAACTATGGACCTAGTATTTCCCATCTAGGCATTGGGATGCTGAGTTTCACTCTCACTCATGTTTGTGTGGTGTTTCTAACATCGGTCACTGATTTAGGAATCTTGGCAATATTAAAATAGTAATTAACATATACAATTCACTAATCTAGGCAGAGTTTGGTTAATGAGAATCATTCATTTTTTCTTTGTGTTGCGTCAGAAATTCCTACATGGTATGAAACAGAAGATAAGTCATTGAACCGACAGAGAAACAATAAAATCATTTACTAGGGTTTTGTAAGATTAGTTCGTAGTCATAGTTCCTTTTCTGCAAACTGAAATAGGTAACATATTCAACATAAAAAAGCATGCAAGGTAAATTTTAATTACTTATACTGAAAGGTCCTACACTCTACATCATACTGACGTTTTGAATCTCCCTAGTATAAGTATCCAAGACCTTTGCCCTGTTTGGAAACAACCAACTGAGTAAATGCAAGTGATTTTAAATTAAGGATATCTGAGCAATTATTTCAAGGAAGAAAAAAATGAGCTTATCCATTAGTGTTATAGGTTGTTGTAAGGAAAAGCATGCTGTCTGTTCATTCAATTAACTCTCAACCTCAAGGCAAGTGATCATTTCACTCACAACATTGCTAATTAAGCAGCTCCAATTGTTTAAACAGATATGCTTTTTGACAGTATAGCCTTGATAATATGCTTCTCTGGCTTTGCTTAGATCTATTCAGTCCATTAGTTAATTGTCAGAAGAGGTAAATGATTTATTTAATAATAAATTCAAAAATAATAAATTCTATTTAAAAGTTTATGATAAAAGAACATTATAAATTATTTTTATAATTGAAATAACTATACACATATTTAAACAGTATTTTAAAGAGCAATGATAGATAATCTTACAATTTCTGTACTGAAATTATCCAATAATAAAATGGAGATGGAAAAATTGAAAATGCAAATCCAAACAGTATTTATTATCTTCTCTAAACTGAACAAATATTTTCACTTTGAACTATTAGCAGAAGTCATCTTTCCAAACAAATTACATGGCACAGTGTTGCAATGACCAATTTTTGTTAAAAAGTCATATTTCCATGAGAGAGCATGACACAGTTTTAGTTGGATACAATTTCAATCAATGTCAGTGACACTAAGCACCTTCAGTTTTTTTATGTACATTTAATCATAGGCAGTTTAATCTATTTATAGAACTTTATTCCATGCATTAAGTATGATTACTATATTTTCAGAAACATGTGAACATGCAAATCTCTCTCATGATAATGCATATATGTTGTTATATGTAATATTAAATAGAAAGGAAGAGTAAAAGTCTTACCTAGTTAATCACCTGTGTTGGTCTCAAGCTGAGGAGAACGAATAGATTCGCCAGCAAGGTCTTGTCTGATAATCCTGAGTGAGGGAGGCTGCAGTTTAAAGGGGTCAGGGCCACTGCAGTCTCAGGGGGTGGGGCTTGTCTTCAGTCATGAATTCCCAAGGGGCTGTTTCCAATCAGAGAATGCAACTGCAGACAATGAAACCATTCTGCATTTGTTGACCCTAGTTTTGTACATACAATTTGCTGTGGGTGTATTCATGCATCAGTAGAGGGAAATGACGTGTATTTCATTGAAGTTTATGGTATGAAGAGTATTTTGAAACAAGGATTATATGAAAATAAGATTGATCTTTCATTTCTTTGAAGTTTTTCCTTTGTGTAGTCATTTCTTCTAAGTTTTCCCTGTTGAGCTGAAAATTATAAAAAGGCTTAACTGCAAGTAGCATCTTCCTCACCTGAGGATACAGGGATGCCCTCTGGAACGGGATTTGTGCATGGATACCCGTGGTCTCTGCCTTGAAAATGTTCGTGATGGGAATGGAGGCTCACTATTTTTGGAACCCACCTTATTTAACTCAGGCCAGTGTTCCATATCAGATGTCTTTTTATATTATGATTTCTTATGCATAATATTTTCTGTTTTTAAATGTAAAACTTCTCTTATATTATTTGAATTCTTGTTAATCTATTACCATTGCTCCAATTTTTCTCCCCTTTGCCCTTCTCTGTTCAGCTCCCTCCTCCCCCCACAGTCCATCCCCACACCATTGTCCATGTCCAAGGGTCATACATTCATGTTGTTTGACTCATCCTTTCTCCTTATTTTCACCATTGCCTCCTGTCCCCCTTTCTTCTGGCAGCTGTCAGGCTGTTCCCTGTTTCCATGTCTCTGCTTCTGTTTTGCTTGTTACTTTATTTTGTTCATTAGATTTCTCAAATGAGTGAGATCTTATGGTATTTGTCTTTTACCAGTTGACTTTTCATTTAACATAATGAAAAGCTCCATCCCTGCTGCCACAAAGGGTAGGAGTTCCTTCTTTCTGCTGCATAGTATTCCATTGTGTGAATGTACCACAGTACATTTGTAAATGTACATTGTGTAAATGTACAGCTGCACCAGACTGCACTCTCCTAGTTATTTTCAAAACATTGTATACAAACTCATACATTTTATACTGTATTACAAATAAGATATGTGTTTGATTATGTCTGAGAGTTGCATTTTCCAGAAATATTTTTCCTTTTGGCACAGCTCTCCCAGCTCGTTCTGACACATTCTTCATCGAAGTCTCTGAATTTCTTTTAAGTCTGTATCTAGAATCTAAAAGCTTCTCACCACATGGATCACTAGTGCCTTAGCTTTGCTGACGATCAGATAACCATCCTAACTAGCTTCCCCTTTTCCACACTGAGGCCCTGCCATCTGTCCTCTTTACAGCAGCCTGGTGGATCCTTTTAAAACATAAGTCGGACCATGTCATTCTCCTGACACTTCAATTACATCATATGATAATAAGTAACCTTGAATATTCCCTAATAACTCCTAACCAAATTCAGAATAAAATAAATTGTTTACAATGGCCCACGAAAACCTGACCCCTCACCCCAGTGCTCTAACCTTATATAATACTCCTTCTCCTCCACCGACCCCCTTGTTCCCTGCACTCTAGACAGACTGGCTTTCCTGCCATTTCTTAGCAGGGCCAAAGGCAGTCCTGTCTCAGGAGCTGGCACCTGCTGATTACTCTCCTAGAACGCTCTTTCCTAGATGAGTTTAACCGTGGAGTCTTCCTTAACTACCAGTAGAAATAGCAAATACATACTTCCTCATGCCCTTCTTACCTTGCTGCAATTCTTCCTTTAGTGTTCAGTAATTTATGCTTTCATTTGTTCACTAGTTGCCACACCCAATAGAATATAAGCTCCATGACAGAAGGGACTTTA